AAAACTAGTAAGTTTATTGACCAACTCATTACCAGTGATCTTTGGTTCCCGAGCTAGAGTTAGAATGTCCAGATTATGCAGTTTCGGTGATTTTCCTATTGTTTAAAACAGTTTCAAACTTGTCATGACCTTTTATCACGTGTTTGGTTAATTAAGATAGATGATGCTATTCTTAAAATATAAACACGTGTAGTGAAAAGTTTTTGATGGAAGAAAATATTCAAGTTGCACTTATCAAAAACATAGAACAGAAATCTCTGAAATTTTAAAGATTTCAATTTTTTTTTGTAGTAAACTTTTTGTGGAAAACGACAGTACAATTTTCATGTGATTCTATGAATCTTCAACTAAGAAATCGCGAAATTAAAAATTATGTCAAAATACATGAAATCTATGGAATTTTTTCTATTTTTACATTAGTATTCACTTTTCAAAAGAATTAAGAAGAATAATATTCCCCATCAACTTAACAGGGGACGAATTTATTAAAAATTTATACCAAAAATCCGAACTAACAGTATATACTCTCGGTTTCATTTAATAATAATAATTGTTAAAAGTGCAATTATTAAATGTTGAACGGTTAAAAATAATATTTGGAGTAGGTGTTTCTTGAAGCAAATTAGAAAATTCTTGATTCAGAGAATCAGTATAATCAGTAGGACTTTCTTGTTGACTACCTCCACTCGTTAATGCTGAGACATGTTCGAGATTTTCATCGTTATGAAGACTGGATGTTTCTTGACGCGAATTAGGAGATTCTTGATGCAAAGAATTAGTAGAATCAGTAGGATTTTCTTCCCTAGTTAATGCTGAAACATGTTCGTGGTTTTCGTCACTACGAGGATTCGGTGTTTCTTGACGCAAATTAGGGTTTTCATTTAGTCTTTGTATTATAATATTTTGTTGTCATCATTGTAACTCCGATATTGTAGTTCTATGTATCCTCAAGACATGTCCTCGTAAATCTGCAAAATGACGACCTCATCCTGGACATTTAGGTTTTCCACTTGATTTACTATGATTTCTTGGAGTCATTCGCTTTAGATAATATCTTGCAACTTCTGTTACAGCACATTAATGTAGTAAAAAAAGTGGGTAGAACTATAAATATTGTCCCACCCTTACACGCATTAAACCAAGTTTTTTTAGATTAATAATTTGAAATATATAGTTGATTATTGTTAAATAATAAGGTAGACTTAACAACTGAGACCTTAATTATATGTGGCACTTTTTATATTCATGCCAACTGGTTTATGAATATGTATCAATAAAGTAAAATTTGTGTCATTTCTATATCGATAAAACCGGAAATGAATCTAAAATTAGAGTAATTTTATATTACGTAGTGTTAAATTATGCCAAATTTGGTTTAAATGCATAATGATAATATTTTAATTTTTTATACTGTCGGAATTATATAATAAGAAACCGATTCATATCAGATATTGTATAAAATTCATTTGATATCGATATTGTATAATTCAAAAGAGATAATCTCTTAGTCAATTAACATGACTCCTATAGACAGTTCAAAAAAGCCACGCGATATAAATCTATAGGGACATAATGCATGTAATCCAGTTTTCATTCTTGAAATCGAGATCTTGAACTCGAGATCTTTTAAAACCGGTATCAATAAAGTAAATTTTATGAAAATCATGTAATTTCTATGAACTTAAAATTAGTGTAGTTTTTATATTGGGCCAAATTTGGCTTAAAAACATGGCAATAGAAACAGAAGTACAAAAAAGCTATGCGAAACACAAACTATCACGTCTATTGACTGACCTCTTATGCAGTTCATCCTCCCCTTTTGAAGTCTTTTGAAGTTTGTGCAATATCTTAACGAAGTAAATTTCACGCGACAATTTTTATATTGCGTTAGATTTCATATCATATCGACTTATTTGTTATTTCTTTAAAGTTTGAAGCCAGAAAGCTTATTACACACTTTAGAACGAGTTTTTTTAGATTAATAATCTTTGAAATATATAGTCAGTCACTGTTAAATAATAAGTTGACTTACCAACTGCATAATAATAGTATTTGTAATTTTTATACTATACCATCGGTTCATATTATATAAAATTCAATAATTTAAAAGAGATAATTTCTTAATTAGAGGTGCAATCCGTAAACTAGTAGTTAATATAAATAAACTGTAATCTATTGTAAACCTGTAGTTTAAAATAAACTACAGTCTGTGGACAGTTCAAATTTTCGATCATTTTTTTAGTGCACACAAATATAATAGAATTTCACGCACTAGAAAAGGTTTATATAAATTTTAAAGTACAAAAAGCCACGCGATATAAATCTATATCAGACTTAATCTGTATCAAATACGATTGTGATTAGACGCTTTATTGTAGTGATATTGTTACTGCAACACGTGATTCTGAAGCCTTAAAGTTTATTTTACATGAAGATTCCGTCAAATCTATTGACCGACTCCTTATGCAGTTCGCCTATTGAGGTTTGTGCAATCCCTTAACGAAGTAAAATTTCATGCGATAATATCAAATTCCCTCACGTGATTTTCGAAGTGACCCTAAAATAGATTTTGGATTGATGGTTTTTTTTTTATTGAAACACAATTTTGAGTTTTAAAGAAAAAACACGAAAATAAGAAAATTTATATATATCCATGATTTTTCCTTAAATATAAAGACTTAAAACGTCGTAAAATCAATTATGTCTCAACCCGACAATTCATGGTGGCATTGCTACATTGATGGCTGTCTTTGTAGTCTATGTATAAATTACTGTATTAGATATGGAATACAACTAACCGAAGATCAAAATAACAAAATTGGACGTAACCCGAGAAATCAAAATGATTACTATCCGAGGAATCAAAATGATTACTATCTACATGTTTTAGTAGAAAGAAAAGGTAATGATCCTCAAATCGAGGAAATTGATGATACTCTGAATTCGAATTCTTTACCTGTCCAGCCCGCGCAATCCAATATACAAAATCGAAACTATCGACAAATTGTCCACATGAATCCAATTTTTCGACAAATTGATCGCCAAAACAGCTCACAAAATAAATTCCTACAGCAGATTGCTAACCAAAATCAATTAATGATTACGATGATTCAAAATATTCCATCTATTCTTACCAATACTCTAAATACACGGTCTTCGATTTCCTAGAACAATGATACTATTCTTACCCATTCTCAAAATACCAATTCTCAAAATACCAATTCTCAAAATACCAATTCTCAAAATACCAATTCTCAAAATACCAATTCTCAAAATTCCAATTCTCAAAATACCAATTCTCAAAATACCAATTCTCAAAATAATAGCAATTCTCAAAATAACAATTCTCAAAATACTCAGCTTTCGGTTCACCAGAACAACGATGTTATTACCAATACACCTCAGCCTTCGGTTCCCAAAAATAATGTTTCTACTATCAATATTTGTGATTTTTGCATGAAGAGCAATTTTTCTAATCAAATCAAACATCAAATCAATATTTGTGATCCTTGCGTGAGGAGCAATTTTTCTAATCAAGCCATATCTGTTTCTCAGATTAACAATAACCAGATAATTTCTCATCAAGTTACTAATATTCCTGTTCCTCAAAACTCAGCTTCTAATCAAGATATAATTGCAACTCAACATAATTCAAATTCCACTACCAATGTAAATATCAATTCCTCCTTGTGGAAACTTGGATATGTTATTATCATTGGTCTTATCTTTTTAGTCAGAATTATTTTTTATGTTATCAAACAATTATCGGTTGTATCTTTATACAAAGAAATCAGGAGTTTGTTCTTTACTATAAAGATAGATTTAACTCAATTTGTAAAAATCTTGGGCCTGGCTATAATTGGCGGTATCGTGAATTGGATTATGAAACACAAAAATGGTATAAAAAAATAATACATATTTTTAATATGGATGTAATTAATTAGCAAACCAAATTTTTCTATTATTTCTCTTTTTTGATTAATTATCAGTCGACCATTTATGATCAAATTTGGTTTATTCAAATGGATTTATGTCTTTACTAGTATTAGGAATTATTTTTACAATAGCGTTATTATAATGTTTTTGCTTTAAAACTGAAGATATAACTTAGGAAATTACAAAGAAGGTGGTAAAGTTATTATAAAGCTTTTGGATAATAAAAACTGCGTTTACTTTGAAAGATATTAAAGAAATGAAATTTTGTTACATTAGCAAAAATTTGGCGCGTTATTCTGTTTTATTTTTTTAGATAAAATTTTTTCCTGCCAAATTTTATGTTTTCTTCTAATGACATTTTTCAATTTTATTATGTGGTCAGGTAGTTCTAATTCCCTAGAATAAGTTCATGAAGATTAATGAAAATTGCTCTTTACAGTAATAATAGAGCATTTTTGCGTAGTAAATTAATGCCATAAGCAAAAATTTCACGATTTTAGCGGCTTTGATTATTTCTTGAGTTGAAATTGTTTCATTTTGACTTCTTGAATATTCAATAATTCCAATACTTGTGTTAGTAATGATTATCGCTATGATTTAACGTATTCAGTAAAAAAGTTATGAGTCGTCATTATCTTTAAACAAAAAACTTTAGTAGCAAGTTTAATTTATCTGTACCTGGCTTGTCTTGACTAATAATTATTGCTGATACAATCAACAAAACCGCTATAGTTACAGCAACTTGAATGAGGAAATTGATAATGCAATTCATTTTGTGAACTTTAAAAGTTGTTAACAGTTGAAGATTTGATTTCTATGAAATCAAAACGCGTATTAATATATTGATATGTTAACAGATCACGTGTACGACCTGTCACATGATAAGTTCAATTTCACATATTCTTTTTTTCAGATTTGCTAAGCAGGCAGAATTTGGGTGTTTCTCTTAATAAAAATGATTCTATGATTATGCAACTAACTCAAAACTCAGAGTTCGAAAACTGCCCTGAAAAGTTTCAATAATTTTACTCAATATATATCAATAGTATACACGCATACTGTAAGAATTATTAGCTCTATATATATATATCGTATTACTATCGGGAAAGCAAGTTTTTATTTCCACTATATTATGCATAGTAAACTAGTATATATAGTTATTGTATATCATATTGCAGATCTTATATATTCTTAAACTTGTTTTTTAAAGGTTTAATGCTAAGGGTATTAAATTATGTTGTTTATTACTTTATGTTTACAGTATATCTAATAATAGGATGATGATGGGTCCGATACACAATTATCTTTTTTATACAGACTTCATCAAACTGAAATCTGATAAATTTGCTCGCTTGTTCACCCTTTTTCTTTTTCCTTACAAGAAAGATCCTTCTCTTAAATACCTAGATAATAATCTTTTAAAAATGAATACAGAATTTAGCTAGTGTAGATTATTACATAAATAACATGCAGCAGAATTCTATTCGCATGCTATTTTAGTTTGTAAAAAACTCATTATTTAATGTTTTAATTTGTTTATCCAGGAATTTATTAGACTGAGATTTTTTGTAATAATGTCTTTCGAAAATGCTGATTAGTACTTGGTTCCCAACCAAAGTAAGGATATGATTTTATTTCTATAAACTGGCATTAAGCAGAAATAGCAAATTCCTAATGCATCTAATGAATTATGTTCATTTATTTATAACTTTAAAAGGAAACTATCAAAAAAATATTAAATTGGTCGAAGACATTGAACGCTTGAAAAATGAAATTAAAACTTATAAAATCGTTAGCACTGCGATTAATGACGACTCTGAGATTTAAAAAAATAATTTCTCAAAGCGGGGTGATGTATTTAATAATGCTAAAGGACTGAATCGTAACTTACTCTTGAAGCATAAATGTCTAGTTAATGAACTTAAAGAATACAAAAAAAATGATGCTGTTTTCCGAGTTGTAAGCAATTATAAAACTACAGAAGTATTATATAAGATTGGTTTATAAATATTTCTTGAGATTCAATCCATTTATATTATTTACGATGATAATAATAAGCAATTCACTCCGAGTCTTGAACTTTGCTTTATAATAAAATAAATTTCATTTATTAAATTCAAATATCACGCTTTAAAAATTTCCGTACATCTATTTGATTTGAATTTAATTTTGTTCTTTCAATTAGTTATTTGCTTTATTGTCATTTGCAAAAATAAATTTTAGAGAAAAGACTTTACTATGATTTTTACAAAATAACGTAATCGTTGCTGTGACCTTTAGAACTTTTCATGATTCGTTAATCGCATTAAATTCATGTTTCCTTATGAACCAATTGTGCAATAGAACTTTTGGAGTCGACAAATCTAATTGGAATATAATAGTACAACTAAAAGATTTTTTTGCCGAAATAATGACCGGGTTACTGTAATTCAAACCTTCCTAACTAAAATATAGAAGCTTATTTGTAAATGTATGATGGTTCTTCGCAGTATTAGCGATTTTCTTATTGTTTAATTTATCAAATGTTTTTTCTTTGTAATATAATTTTTTAATATGTTCAAGTAATAAATTTATGCTGTGTTGTGATTGACTTGTTTAATTATCTAAAGGATTGAGGACATTCATGAAAAGATCTTGTTTCAAAAATGAATAATGGGTACAATCAATAAATTTAAATTAAAGCTTCTATACGGATAATCATTTTGAAATGAATGTGCTTACGAATTGCTCAAAGAATTTTGCTAGTTGTAAAAGGGACCCGGGTATAGAGAGCCCAGATTACGCGTTTTCTATTGTTTAAACAATAGAAAATCATTGAAACCGCGTAATCTGGGTCTTCTACCAGGTACATTAAAATATATAATTATTGCACGTTTCCTCAAAGAATTTTCACGCGTCATTCACAAGAAACCATAAAAATTATAAAATTTTATTTTTAAGACCTGCCAACTTACCTGTTGTATTTAGCTGCAGGAACATGAATGAGCAAATAATACTTGCAATGATTAATTCATTCACAAAAATGTATTCAAACTTACAGTAATTCGTTCAAATTAAATAGTTGGTGTCAGTTCCCTTATAATGTATTTGATTTAAACCTTTTTTGATAATAAAATGAGAAAATTTT